AACTATTATTTACGTTCTCTTTTATTCTGTTTATTAAAAATTGCTCCGTATATTTATGGTAACTATATGAAAACCGTCTCAGAAAATAATTCATGGACATCATATGGGTCTAATCCCCCATTTGATAGTGTGGGAGTCCCCTGTCTCCAGGGTATACACACTAAACACTCCACCCCGTTTATAGGCTAACCTGACCATGTATCCGACGACACTTAGGCCTGGTGGCCCATCGTATCTCACCTACATGCCGTTATTAATTTAACCATGTTCGACTCATGGTGCTTGTTAAGGGCCACTTCAATATAAATGGTTCAGGTTCTTGGAGATTACTCTACCGATCCCTCTTCTCGTCTACGAAGAAGGCTAACAATTTGCCTTCTTCTACGAGTAACGGGGAAAGTGGTTCTACCACCACTGATCTCCGGAGCAGGCCTCATACTATAGTTGGGTGTTGTTAGAACTTGGTTTGTTTATATTTAGTAGGAACGGAGCCCTGGACTAGCCACTTCGTCGTCCTGGTTGCTCCTCCGAAGTCCCTTGGTCTCACTTTCGGAGTGGTTGACTAGTGGATAGGGTTAGGAGTGATTGAATATTTCCAAGTAAATCATATACAATTGAATCAGTAGATTGAACTGCGGATTGTGCCCGCTTACAGATTTAGTATGTTAGTAACTATTCAAAAGTTCGTTAGTCCAAATCAAGTTTGACTCTCAGTCGTTCGCCAGCAAAGGCTTCGCAGGACAAAATCCGGTGAGACGGCGTATCTGGGAGGAGGCATGTTGAACAGTCAGGAGTGTTCATTTTGTCTATCCTATGCAGATGGTAATTGATATTTCCGTGACTAGAGAGAAGCAGGACAGTGTTTCTCTGGAGCGGAGAATTGTGTGAGGAGATCCATTCCTCGTTAACGGGAACTGTTTCGTAGACGAGTCTTTCCTTGGTTGAAGAGTCCCACTCCGCTTGCCACGTGCGGAGGATGTTGGTCTTCAATTCCAGGGAGGACTACCGTCCAGTAGCGGTAGTCGGCTGCGATTATTTCTCTGCCGAGAAAATGGGTTCGGCCGCTTTTCCCAAGGTTGAATACTGCCTCGATTCTTTGGAGTCCGAGATGAATCGGAACGCACTTGGCCAGCACACATAAGGATTCGTTCGGGTTATACTTATAGGCCCCTGTGATGGTTCAGAAACGAAACGAAAGATGTTGGTTACTCTGGTAAGCCTGTGGCCCCAGATGCTTATGCCATAGCTTAAAATAGGTATGATGGCCTTATCATAAATGTCTTTTAGAGATTTCTGAAGGAAGTCAATTCTACCCCAGTTCCGTTGGAGGAAGCGACGAATCATGTATCATGTGTTTATATGTCTTATGTTGTGTTCGAAATTAAACTTGTCATCTAGGATAATGCCCAGATATTGGGTCTTTCTTACGCGTTTGAGAGGCACGCCCCCTAGCCGAATGTTTGGATTTCTGTAAACCTTCCAATTACTGAGTAATTCTAATACCCCTACATTACTAACTGGGGTATTTTCGTACCCCACCTAGTTTTCATATATATTTATAATATTTAATTTCATTATATGATTCGCACTTGAAAAATACACAAATTACAAATTTGGTCCAAATATATCAATAAGTTTCATAGAGTATGCAGAACAAAACTAATGCGAAATATAAAATCAACTTATAGAATGAATATTTCGAGATATCAATTATTACATGTATTACATATTATTTTTTTTTGGCTGTGTTCTACACAAACAAACTGTCCGCAAATTTCACATTTGTTACGGGTTTTCCGATCATTTTGCCGAGGACAAAGAGTACAACGTCCAGATGTCCTTTCACCTGCTGGAATTACTGGACGACTACCTAACTCAAGAACGACCGTAACCATATGGTCACGAATTGTTTGGTGAAGCCTGTCTTCACCAAACCTTCTAAATATGTTTTCTCTTGTAAGTTCTTTACCGAAACTTGCGCCTTGCATCCAAATAGGACTTATTCCACCCGGGGTATTTAATTTTCCACAAAATGAAGGAATCGAGTTCTGCAGTGTCGATCATGTGTCCAAAAATTACCATTGGCCATCTATTTGTTATGCGACAAGTAGTAAATTCTTTTGTCATTTTAGAATAATCTCGGGTTTCTACATGATTTTCTCATTACCCTTTTGGATCATAGTCGATAACAAAATAACTGCCTTATTTTTTTCAGCTGAATATGAGACCAAGGTATGGCCTTTAGTAAATACAAAAATACTAGAAGTGTTTTGTATCTATATCTTTGTGAATGATTCCATTGGAATAACTTTTTTTGGGTATGAAATACTGGTCGAATGATTTCAATAACTTTTCCAGGGTGTTTCTTTCATCCTCTTTGAAAGTATTATACACGTCGAGACCTTGATCTCCTATAAAGTTGAGCAGTATAGCAATTCTCATATCTTCACTGGATTTCTCTTTGTCGGTAGCTTTTAAGTATATCTCGAATTTTTGTTTCCATAAGTTCCAATTTTTCATATCATACTCCGTCAATGGAGCAGGCGGTCTAAAGAACCCCATCTTGGCTCCTTGACTTGCTCTTGCTCTTCTGGTACTATATTTAAGAGGCCATATGCCCCTCGAAATTATTCGGATGTTCCCAGTTTTCTGTCGTATCCCTTCCACTTCGGAAGGGGCGGGATCAAACTAAAGAATTCTTAGAAACCTCGATATCGTATATCTGTCGAGCGGCAGATCAAGGGCGTTTTTGAGATATGAACCATAAATCAAAATAAGCGACCTTTTACGTCGCCCCCTGTACTTGGCTCACCTTGTAAGTTCGGGGACTTTTGGAATTTTGACTTCCTATCTACTCTGAATATATTCCTAGTCTTAAAAATTGTTCTCTCTCATTAACTGAATTATAATTGATTTATTTAGTTTCGACATAGGAAGGCTCTCTGATTTCCATGCCTCTGTTGATTCTGCTATCGACTAGTTCAGGGATCATACAATCAAAATACAATTTTTTAGAGCTGATTCCATTTTTGATGACCAGAAATCATCATCTTTAGCGATAACTTCCACTTTTATGCCTATTCGAGTCCAAGCTGCAAAATAACAATTGGGCTTTCTCGTAACATGGAGCTGTCCCTGGACTTGATAAAACCAATTGTGGTTCTTGTTGACTTGACCATCTTTGTTCCAAAATGTTATTTTCCTTTTTGCGATTGCTTCATCTGGAGTCAGATCTTTGGCACTATAGGGACATTTAACTTCGATAATTGTTTCGTCATCTTCAGTTACTCCATCAGGACTAGCAGCAATATATTGAAGATCTTCATCAATCCAAAGTCCACATTTGTTAATTTTTTTTCCAATATGTTTTTGCATTTCAGCAATAGCAAGAGGTTGTTTCGTGGTTCCATAAACCAACGATGCTGCATTGATTGCTTCAGGATATATAATCCTTTCAACTAATCGTCTGCGAGATGAAGATTTTTTTTCTTACATATCTCCCCAAACACTGATGCGGTGATTCGTTTTTTTCTTTCTTCTTTCCTCAGATTTGATTTGGTATGATCTCGTGTGAGGTATTCTATTTTTATCAACTCTTTTACATCATTTTCTAGACTCTCTAAAAATACATGTTTGGACTGCATGAAGATCTCTTCAGCCATTTCAGGCTTCTGGCAGCTGGTTCCATAATATTTCGAATTCTCATCGCCCCGATTCATCAATCCATAGTTATGATTTTTCGGTTTTTCCTTTTTAATCATCGATCTGGTCGATTCATATCTTCCAGTGTAAAAACCAATACCTGTGTTGTGTCTTCGAATGACTGGTGAAATATTTTTTTTGAATTGAATGCAGCTGCGGCAGCAAAACAACGACTCTTGTAGCTACGTCTCTGGAAAAAATTCACTCTTTTTCCTCCAGTGTGTTTGGCAATGATGCTGTTGAATTGTTAAACTATATTATTGTCAACGTCATAAATTAGACTATCTGAATGATCAGTCAAATGTCTCATGGCATTCATAAGTTTGTCATGGAACGCTAAAATATTTCAAATAATAAATCTAGGTATTCATTCATTCATGTTTAATTCCTTCTGATTGTTCTTATATTTTTCTGTTACCTCATTGTTTTGTTAATTTCTTTGAATGTTATGAATCTCTTCGTTTCAACAATATAAACATTATCGATTCCTTTCGTTTCATTACATTTCACGAATGTCGAATCATATATCTCCATAACAATAAGGTGGCCAAGGGGCCCGTCTTGATATCTGTTCTGGGGCCCGCGCTGGCTCTGACCGGCCCTGGCATCACTTACCCGACAAATCAAAATTCCAACTACTTCCAAAGGACTATGGACACGATAGCGCGAACACACAAATAACCAAGCAGATTGGTATTCACACTATGAAAGTCGAAATCAATGTGAGCGAAAGAGATCCTACAAATCTGAACTCGAAAAAAGACAAGAATCAACTTGTGTTACAGATTTCCGCCGAGTATGTACATTGCTTACTGGGGTATTTTTGTTCCCCATCTACTTTGAACGTCTGAAAAAACTGAATGGCATGGTTTTTTTCATTTTATATTCTATATCGTGGGCTTACTACCAAAATTGACCAAGTCAAAAACAATAGTTCCTGGAAAAAGGATGATCAAAGTATCCTACTTTTATGTGATATGTTTACCCAGGAGTCAAACAAAATATCTGCATTCCTTTCTTATTAGAATGAAGTATGAAATCATAGATTTAGAGAAAATTCTCATCCAAGTCTGCTGTTTTCAAGAACTAAATTGACTTGGTCATTTTCGCATGTAGAAATTAGGTATCAAAGCGGGCATAGTCAATGGTGCAGAAACTTTATTCAATGAACAACTCTAAAGAAACCAAAAGTAACATTTGTATTAGTCAACATTGTGATGGTTGGTATGGGTGCTAACGAACATAATCCATCATTAATGTTTGAAAGAAAGAATTATAATGAAAATTTGCAGAAGAAACTAAGCAGAATCTGAATCGGACCATAGTGATGGCTCTGGGGCGACATCTTTTTTTGCGCTATCTGTTGGTATAGACTGATACCAGGCATGAAACTCCGGAGGAATTGCCCCCGTTCTACACAATTTCAAGAAATCTAGCTTTTTCAGGTTGGAAATTGGAATTTCTTTGGAATACAATTGCGGTATTTTGTCTGGCAAAATATTGTTGGTAGTTCGACTACTACGTCCAGCTACATTTAGCCTAAGAAATTCTGGATCACTATAATTGTACTTGAATAGCACGTACTGAGGTAAATTTTTTTCATATCGCATACTTTTGATTTTCAACCAATTAACACGATTTCCGCTTTCGTCTATAGATCTGTTCTTGAAAGTCCTAGAAGCTAGTTTCTTCAAGTCAAGAAAGTCCTTGTACTTCAATTCGTGTACATTGTATGGAGGACTTCTTTTATTACGCCCTCTATTAGAGCGTGCCATTCGAAAAATATTTAACCAATCATGCATAGTGTATACGGGAACATTCCTTTTGGCATTCTCTATTGCACTATGCATGGAATCTATTTCCATGCAAGAATGGCCAGATTCTAGAAAATTATGCTCGATAATATTCAAACTGCTGTTTTGTACTAGGAACACAAATAAAGCTGCAATATACTGATTCCTGTTCTGTCCGCTACAGGTATCTGAGAACAAATTCAATTCCGTGATATTCTGTGGCAAATTCTGTATCCATTTAACCAGACATGTTCCTATTTCTGAACTGCCCCTCTGACCATTAATTTCGATCCACGTATAGCAATGGGCTTCCTGCGAAGCTGCTTCGTAGATTGTGAGATTGTATGCACATAATTTTCTGCTATAATACATTAGTGAGACATCAGAAGACGGTATCTGTAGAATGCTTTGTAAATCAAATGTGACGCTCACGAAATTATTATCAGTCATAGCACGCTCCTTATCTGATTTTTTTGCTGCATTTGCTTCGTCCCTTCTTCGAATGTGAGCTTGATAATTCTCTTCCAAATCAGCTGACTTCTCTTTCAGGTAGTTCGCACATATTGAGCGCTGATCTTTCTTAGGCTTGAAGAAGGATAAGTTGAAGTTCTTACAAAATATTCGGCGGTAAGTTATCTGGGATGCATATTTCTTATCTGTTTTCCTACAATCCTCAGCATACAAAGCGTATATTTTCGCAATAGATAAATTTGAATCTAGATATTCTCTCTTAGTAGATGCTCGTCAATAATGAGAAGCCATGGTTGGGAAACTCTTTATGTGAGCAGTGATTGTATCAATGATTTCTGGTTTTGTTTTGTTAGCTGGAGCTCTTTTACCACGTTTGTCGCCACTGGCAAATATTCCAGTCTCATTCAACCCAGAAAATGCTGTATCCACTGGTCCATGGCTTATACACAAAGTATTAAAAAAATAAGTTTTACAAACTCTTACCCTTGTGCCCTCCTTCAGAAAATGGTAGTACCTGCTTCTAGATTTATGTGCACCTGTACCAGTTCGAATTCTCCTACAAGCAGGTTCTTTGCTTGTGACATAAGAGACAATGAAATCTTTTTGGCGATTGAAATCTAGATTCCAAAATTTAGAACATAACTGGTTTCTCAATTCATCATTGAAATCAAGTGAACATTTGAATTTACAAGAGTTGCAATTGCTGAATTTAGGTTTCTTTGCTGCTTTGACTCTTCCTCTGGATTCATGTGGTAAACCTGACATTCTGTTTTTCTTATTTATATTTTTTTCCATTGTGTAGGATTCGCCTTTTTCCAACGGTACTGTCTTTTTGATAGTACTATCGTCAGAAGATGATTCTGCATTTGACTCATCACTTGGGATATAATTATCACTACTGCCGGAAAAAAAATCTGAACCACTTCTTTCATCTTCTTGTTCCTCCAATGAATGTGAAGAAAGCTGATCATGTACCTCGACGAAATCGCTAGTAATCATTGTGGAAGAACAATCTTCCTGAGCTGGAGGAGCGCATAATGTACCTATAATTAAAATTCATCATTGGGAGTAGGTAAAAAAACGAACACAAAATGTTCACCTTCGACAATGTTGCTCGTCGCAGACAAAGCAGAAACACACTGGGTCTTTGTTGTTGTGGAACATTGTGCTAAAAACAATAGAAACCTGTTATGAGTAACTGCATCCTGCAAAATGTCCTTCTTTGTATTTATATTTCGACAATAACAAGAACATAACTTCAAAATAAATTACAAGAATGAAAACAAAACTGAAATATTCATCTGCATCAATGTCCATTGAAACTCCTCCCTCTGCATTATTCAAACACATATGTGTTATTAATTTGCCCCTAAAAGCCATATTCTTATGAACACATAAACGATTAAATCAGATGTTCTTTATCAATCACGATATCAATACACATAACTGAACGACCAACACATCAATACCGGGTGTCAACGATTCTATTTGACAAGTCATAACTTCTAGACCATTAGGTATATCAAAATGAGATTCGGTATAGGTAAATGGTATGTAGAGAGGAGAGTTTTCACATATTTTTCACTTCCCAGTCACTTTCGGTTTCACCGGAAATGGCTCCGGTTCTAAATTTTTAAATGGAAAACCCTGTATATTGTAACATTTTTGGATTTCTGAGACAATCCTAGATCAGAATGTGACATTTTCGGAAGTTTTTATGCCTACTTGATTTTTTCGGAGTCACTTTTGAAATTACATCTAGGTGGCCATGATCGGAAGTAAACTAATCTAAGGACCTCAGGTGATATCAGAAAATTACAATCGCGAAGTTTTAGTGACAAGTATGATAGATATGAATAAGAAAGGTTGGCAAAATTACATTTTCGTGTCTAACTATTATTTTTCAAATGGCGACCATTTTTTGACTTTCCGAAAATAGAATATTTTGACGAATCTAACGATACTGATTTATTTGCGATAGGATAACAAATAAGAACAAAAAAATTAAGTAGGCATAAAAACTTTCGAAAATGTCACATTCTGATCTAGAATTGTCTCAGAAATCAAAAAATGTTGCAATATACAGGGTGTTCCATTTAAAAATTTAGAACCGGAGCCATCTCCGGTGAATCCGAAAGTGACCGGGAAGTTAAGAATATGTGAAAACTCTCCTCTTCACATACCATTTACCTATACCAAAACTCATTTCGATACACCTAGTGGTTTAGAAGTTATGGCTTGTCTAATAGATTCGTTGACACCCGGTATATTATATAGGTAGTGTAACTAGTTTCGGCCACAAGCCAACATCTGACACAAAAATTATGTATTCAGAAGTACCAAAAAGATAATCATGAACATTGTTAAGGAGTTAGAAAGAGTCAAAGAGTCGACATACTAACCTCAGCAATACATATTAAGAGCAGAAAAGACATTTGAGGTTGAACTTCGGACTCGGTTCAGGCCCCGGCTGCATAGTCATAGTTAGAGTAATGAGACGGTGATTGCTCTGCATTGCTCCGTCCACCACCCTTATTATTGATTAAGCTTAGGAGACTGTTACTGGCTAAAGTAATGTCTATGCTGTTTTCCCCATTTGCGGTGCAGAATGTGAAGGGCTGTCCACCTTTGTTGAGTGTGTGGAGATTGTGAGCAGCAATGAAATTTTCCACGACCAGACCTCTTTCATCTGTGTTCTTGGAATGCCAGGTAGCCGACTTGCTGTTAAAATCGCCCATGATAAGAATGGGTCTGCCCAGGGCCTACTATATCTCACCGGGCCGTAGTCTATCCCCTCTCTCTCGACGCTGACGTCACACTAGTAGGTTGAGATTTCACATCAGTCCGTACTGATGCGTTCGTAATTGATAGGCTATAGCTCATTTACTATACATTTTAGAAGCACACTCAATCGAGACGAAATGATCCCCAACACATTCCTCAACTTTTGGTGAAAAAATGAATCCAATAGGATGAATCAATACCTAGTTATGGCGTTGAAACAAAATTCCATTTTATTGAAAATCAGGACGTTGTACTACTTACAGAATACTATTTTTTGCAAATTTGGAATTGGAATAAGATGAAACTAACTCAATATATCAAACTACGATAATAAATCAATTGAATAGTGAAAAAATTGTAGAGTTACCAGCAATGAGTCCGAAAGAAATTAAATATAAAGAGCGCGTAAAAAATGGGCCGTTATACCTACCTACCCAAATTTCGCGGTATTCAATTTCGCGGTAATTCCTTGGACTGGTAAAGGGCGAAATACTTTTTATTACTCATTTTATTTCTAAATGGCGTATGGTTCAGACCAACTAATATTGGTGTCTGAAAAATTCGAAACAATATTTCTACAATGTAAGTCACAACATAATTAAAATCAATTTCCTTCTCAATTATTCCGAGAATCGATGTTGCAGTTGTGGATCTTTTGATTTAATCAGCAGAACATTCTCTAAAACCATTTCAAATATTCTGTTGAACAAATAATGCAGAATAAAAAAAAATTTAAAAAGAAAAATCACTAAACTTTCAGGATGAGATATGGTTCCGGTTATGGATGAGATATGATTAAGATGATGTATATATATTTTTTGGTATTAGTGTATTTCATTTTGTGATATCTATAATTTTTTTTTATTTTGTTATGTTGATCATTTTTACAGTTCATTTTGTTTGGTTTTGTTTGTGTATAAGGATTCAACGTTTTTTTAAATTTTTTCCTTATTCATTCATATATCGTTGTTCTGGGTATTTTGTTATTCAGTTCGTTATATTCATTTTTATTGTTGTTATTTTTGTTAGGTTGTGTTCATATGAACTCCACATATTTTGTTCTTTTTAATTTTGATAGTTTGCAAATATATTCAAATTGAATTTTTTTCATGAATTGAACATTATCCTTCAAATATATACTCTTCAGTAGAAAATAATTGATACCGAATAGGCGTTTTTGTGTAATAACACACTCGAGTGATACGATTTCTAACATCATCAAAGTGCGCCCTGATCATCTTTAGAGATAAACGCTGCTAAAACCCTTCGAGATAAAGTGGATGTGTATTATACCGATTTGTAGGCAATCAAATTTTCTACAAAACAGTCAGTGACAGCATATATCCATAGTTGATAGGATTAGCATGGGAGGCGTCCGAACTTTTCGAACTATTCTGTGATGAACACCTGAATCATCGTTCTACTTGAATTGAAATATCGGTTTGTTGTTGGCCCTTGGGAATTTCGAAAAAAAGTCAGTCAATCTAGATACTATGCGAAATCTTTTCATGGTTGAATCATTTCTGTAAATTGAATATTGGAATTTTGGTAGCTGTTTGAAAAAGGACAATTCTGAATGGCGTCAATTAATTTTGATGTGCCATATTTCTGAAATTAATGATCGCAAATCAGTGAAATTTGATTCATCTGCTGGAAAATTCTTTTCTGTCCATATTTGACCTCTTGATATTTTTCGCTTACTGTGACCGTTTTCCCGAGGTAAATCAATGAAACGGGAGAGACAATTTCCACTGCGTTGATTTTGTACCTACTAGTGTGACGTCACGAAAGCGATGCTCCGGCCCGGTGAGATAGAGTAGGCCCTGGTCTGCCCTGTATGGACCTGAGAATCTCTTCTAGGGCACTGAGTGAGGGGTCCAACTCCTCGTCCCATGGGCAGTTTATGCTAACTGCTACCCACGTCTTGGTTCTGTCTGAAAATTGGCAAGTCACAACATTTTGACTGCAGAATTGAGAAAGGTTGATGACGTCCAGACGGTTGTCTAGGACAGCAGGGGCTGCTTAGCTTTTGAGTATGCTATCTTCAGGTTGTTGAAACGAGGTATGTGGAATTGGTTGTTCCTCCTGATCGAGTACGGCAGATAAAGGATATATTACTAGACTCCGCGTATTGTCGGCTTTCGGCTGTTGCGGTTCTTGACCTAGCGAGATTTGCTTGTGCAACGTTCAGTGGTTTGTTAAGGTTATTGAACATAATCTGTGTTTGATATGGTTTCCTTGGTGGGTCGGATGTACATTTGGCATCGGCTAGAGGACGCTTCATGTTTTGAATCTTCCAGGCCAGCTTCCTTGCAATTGAGGCAGGTTGGTTCTGTATCCTTGCTTGGACATTTGCTAGTGTCATGATCTTCGGCACAACGGCCGCAGACTGCTGGGCTACGCAGACACTCTGCATATGCCCGAATTTTTGACTTTGAAGCATCTGACCACACGAACGTGATCTTTGACGGTGCAGGCGGACCACCCTATGTAAATTAGACTTTTATCGAGCAGTATGGCTCTTGTATCAGGTGTGGTTTCAATGACCCAATGGTTGAGAGACTTGTCTCTCGGACCAAATTTGGCTTTGACCTCGATCGCATGTGTCTCGGGATCTGGTTGATTCGTTCGGGATTTCATTCTAAGGTGTGCTGACCCGTGTGCTCTAGAAGGACGCCGAAGACGGCAAGTCGTGGCTTCAGTTTACCCTGCATGCTCATCTGCAGACCTGCCCTACGGAGGGCCTCGGTGTTAACTTTGTTCGATTTCGTCTGCTTCGATGCGGATTCCGCATTTGCCTGTTCTGAGAAGTTTGTCGGGTTTTATGCCCAATTCGGCCGGAGTGACGGGGCTCGTGAGAGCCTTGCGAGTGTCGTTGCAGGAGAGCAGGTCTGTGGAGCCAGTCACGGGTGTAATAATCATGGATTTCTTGGGTTTGGGGATAATGAACTTTACCGATGCAGATCTTTGGGGGTTGATCACGTACTTTAGCAGCCTTAGAATAGGTTGCACCGACATTTGCAACTCGCTCGACTTGTTTTTCTATTTGTTCTGCCTTGTCTGCGAGGAGGCTTTGTTCCGTGAGAACTTCCAGGTTATCTTCTATTGCGCAGAGTATTTCTTTCAAAGACCCGACCAAGAAGAGCAGGGTGGTGCGGCATTCAGCAAATTCAGTGATTTGGTTGTCTAAGTTCACTGACGCTGAGTGCGTAAGTGCTTTTTGACATTCCTTGAGGAACTCGTCCTGGATGTCCGAATTAGCCATGGATAAATTGGATGAGCTAGATCTCCTTGTGGGTGATCTGATCGTCACTTTAAATGGTTTATCTGGCTTCCTAGCGTATTTAATTTTCACTGTGTAAAACTGATTTTCAATATATATACCAATGGTGATAACATAAATAGCCTCATTTTCAAATTCATTCAGAAGATTGTTGGCATCATCTTTTCATAGCCATGTCATATTCCAATCATATCCACAACTTCATTTTGAGATAACCTACATCATATTGGATATACTTGGCTGCTTGAACTTTTTGATAGAATAGAATAGCAATTATTCACTCATTAAAATATCCTGTACTGGGTGTTGAATCAAGAGATACATACAACATCTACAAAATGATAATAAATAGTCTATGAAACAATCCACAAACCTACAATACAACATGACAAGGATAATTCATGTACAGGGTGAACAACTAAGAACGACTGTCATATCTATCATTCTTCCAACTTTGATAGTCAATATCTTCCAATGGCGGTTTTTGTTGGTCTGTTGAGATTTAGTTACTCTATTACATCGTGTAATGATATGCAACACATTAGATTTATTCTTTCTCAAACTTGTATCATTATTCGTTGCTGAGATATGGCCGACAGCCGTTTTTAGTTGTTCACTCTGTACAGGAAATATGATGCTGATCCAGGAAAAAGCCTTGAATATTATAATAGGTTTTTTCTATAAGATAGGTTTTTCGTTTTTTTTACAGATTTTTAATGGACAAATTTGTGATATTTGAAGGTAGGGCATTCATACTTGTTTCAAATGACATGGGGAATTTCTCTGTGTATAACTGAGCCTAGTTTAGGTCTGGTGTCATATTCTATTTATTTCCTGTGTTGTATTCATGCTTAGGAATGGAGTTTACAAAAAATTCAAAATTATTTTTTACAAATATTATCGATTCAGAAATTCAGATGCACGTTATTGTTGAATTTCTTTTTCTGAATAAATAGGTACTGGTTTGAAAATATATCTTAGGCACCTTTTTCGCATCAACAGTATGCGTTTTACATGAGTTGAGTTATACCACATAGAGGCAATCCATCTATGTCGAGAATAATTTCTAGGGATTTTGTATGTTCCAATAGGAATGCAGACTAAAGGACAAGATTTTCAAGGCTTGTTCTAATTCCAAAATGATGATGTTCGCCAGAATCAATAGATTTTTTCTTCAACATTTCGACATGTTCCTAAAACAGTTTTAGCATCTGTTGGCAGTTCAGGATACAATGATTGTGAATGGTGGAATGTCCGAGTTGAAAAAACATTGTATGCGTGTTCATGTTTTTTCAACTCGGACATTATGAAGAGTTGAATTCACTAACTTCGATCACTTCAGCTCAATATATAAAATACAAAATGGGTATCAACACAAATCATAATTTAATCACCAAACCAAGTAATAAAACAACAATGCATATGTGATAAATATGCCTGATGTCAACTTTCAATGTCCTTTGAAAAAAACGTTCATCGAGCCAGTGGCGAGAGAGTTGTCTAATAATTTTCCTTTATATTTATATTTGTTCTGATCCAAAAAAGTTAAGGATATTGTGTTTTTGCTAGGAAGAAATTTTTCTAGAAAAACTGTAGTATAGCTATTTATACCTGTGTGATTTTATTAGAAAAAATTATGTTGTTTGTAGACATATACATATAGTATATTGTTTAACGAGCACGGAATGATAGTGATTTCCTACGAGAATGAAGTTTGCAGCATGAGCCATAGGCGAATGCTGCCCTTCAGGCTCGTGCCACAAACTTTCGCACTCGTGAGAAAAGTTGAACTTTCCCCATTTGTTGCACAATATACTATTTATTTATCGACCATATTCGGCGAAATGTCCAAAAAGCTGTTTTGGCGACATAACCACTTTTGGCGATTCGTTCGATGAACTGATTTGGCGTCATGATCACTCTCGTAATATGTTCAATTAATGTTTCCGCGTTTTGACCACCGGGGCCCGATTCTCTAATTTTTTTTATAGGTATTCAAACTGCAGTCTCGCTATAATGCTCTTCAGTAATGCATTTTTGTCTATTTTCATTCCTATAGGAATTGTATTCCAATGATTCGAGAATTGTGACCCTGGCAGCATGTCCAAGGAATTTATTGAACATTCGAAGCGAAATTGAAGTCACGGATTCAATGCTGAATTCCAGAACTATGAAGCGTCGTTTTACAAGTTTCGGTATCATGACTGGCATGTTACAGCATTGTGGGAAAATTAAGATTTGCACAAAGAAATATCATTTTCATAAGGCACATGAAAAAATCTTCGTGCCTCATTATGATAATTTCTCGATGAAAAACGAATAAGTTTTTTTCGAAAAAATACTTGATGAAAAAGTTATGAATATTGTGCAGAACTTCATCGACAAGCTGTTTAATGCTCTATTGATGTACTGATCCGATGTTTCTGATATGTTTCTGATTGTGACTTTTTTTTCAGGAAAAGTCGACTCCAAACTCTAGTTTGATCATCAATAACTCCCTGGAGGTATTCAAGTTAGTTTCTCAAATCTTCAATGTCAATACAAAAGTGCATTTTTAGGAATCGATATCACGAGGAGAGGGACGACCAAATCCTTTTCTGAAGAGTCTCAAGAAATCCAAAGCCAAAGAACCCAACCCGCTTAGTTTGACTGATAAGTTTGCAGGTGTCTCTTATGAAAAGGGTTCCAAAGAAAACGATGCCAGAAATGGAGAGGTGAGTAGAACTTTTTCAACGTGATTGTGACCAATTCATGTCAAAAAACGCGAGTGGATGATATATCTTCAAGAATTATCAAGGGCCTCCTAGTTCAAACAGTGTCATTCATAGGAGTTGGTATCATATGGGAAAAACTGGAAATGATAATTTATTTTCAAATTCGACTTGGGTGTTGGGTTTTCCTTCAAAAAAGATTTAAAACGGTCTACTGGGTCGGAGTCACGTGACTTTCGCGAGATGTCGAAAGTTATTTGGTTTCAAATTAATCGCTGAAAATAGACTTATTTGTTCGAATTTTCAGGAAGTCTACTGAGAAAAGTTGTTTTCATTCCAATTTCACACATTTGTCTCGAATTTGAACGTCCTATTGCAACTTTTAGTTCGTGATATTTTTTGATTTCTTCTGCTTGTAACTTCGACAAAACTGTCCTGAACTTTGGTTAGATACGTGAAGTAGTTCGATGATATTTTGATAGATGACTTTGGTATCACTTCAGTACTGTAAACCCCGATGCATGTCATCATCAATTGGTGATTTCGACGAAGAATAGACTATAGAGTAGTTTCGAAATCGCAATTTACTTTCGATATCTTATTTGTTGGGGTACAAACGGTGCCATAAACAGTGTTAACAAATGGATGTCTTTTTCGCACATAATTTCATATCCTTGATTAAAAAAACGCGATAGGTACAGCTAACCCTTCCACTCATTCGAGAAATATCGAATGATATAAAAATCTCTAGACTAACCAGCCTACAATTGTCAATTGTTTCAAAATTGAATTGTTTCCTTTCAGTGGAGAAGGTATGAATGCTAAGAAATCTGTCATTGAAGAGGTTCATCAAAGAGAATCATTCAAATCAAATTAGCTGATTCCATTTTCTGATGAAGTAATGAGTAGAAAATTCACCAATAAAATATCTTTCATTAACTGAGTACGTACCTATAACTCTGTATCTAAGAATAACCCTGTAGATGTAAAAAATGTTTCCATTGATTTCTTGTCAACCTTGAACTGAATATCTAGGATAATTTTGCGATGAAATGAGGTGATCGCGCTGACCAACGTATGTCTCCGTTATTCGAAATCACCTTGCCAGGAAACAATTCTGACATGCGTCATATTACCATATTACCAGAACCATACGGTAATCAGCAAATGCAGTTGTTAACATTGCCCGTAATGAAGCTCCTCATAAATCTACTGGCCCATTATTGTGTTGTCTAATAAACCGACCCATACATTTACTACAACTACAAAATAGCCACAATGCTCAAAGTGGAATGAAATGGTAAATAAATACAAAAAGCTCAAAGTCATTTCCACACAATGTTCATAAAATGAACAACAATGGTAGATTTCGAAAGAAAAACAACTACTTCTCTGCAGTCCTAAGACCGCCGACTCAGCGAAGCCTAGCCAAACAAAAATCAAGTCGGCATTATATTCACCCCGAGGCGTCTTTCATCGACAAAATTAAAGTAACGCCATCTGAGCATAACAGAAGAAAGAATCACTTCAAAACTAAAATTCCCATACGGGAGTAGCTGGTTGCCCGACTGGCGTGATATGAACTACAAAATAGCCACAATGCTCACAGTGGAATGAAATAGTAAATAAATGTGGAAAGCTCACAG